AGTCAGCAAGATGGGTCTGTAAACCACAGGCAGAGTCACAGCTTTGCCCTAAAGAGCATCACTGGGAGTCTTACCCATTCCTGCAGCCCTCAGTCTTACCCCTCCACTTGTCACATACCTGTGGCTGGGAAGCCACCACTACTCCTTGTTGGATTGTTGCTGGGGGCTTTTGAAGAAGCCAGCACTGCAGTGAAGGAACGATGCTTGGCCCAAAAGCCATGCTTGAGGACCCCCGGGCTGCCTTCTCAGGGCAATGCAAACCAGCACCCACCCCACCACATAACCCGCTCAGACCCACTCCTCCAGTCTCTGTGGTCTCAGAGTTTGTCCACCCGCTTTCCTCCTCTGATGGAAGTCCTTCCTGGGATCCCTGTATGGGGCATGGACCCCCTCATCCATCTTGTGTTCTCAGGGCCTTGGAGCTTCAATAAAACCCAATCATTAATTGATGGTTTACTCAGGGCTTCATTCACTTATTCAGGGCTCACATATAGACCACCTACTGCAAGGCTCAAAGTACAGGCTCGAGGGGTCTGTACACCAGGTGATAATCCTGGGCTGTCTGTGCATTGAGTCCAGAAGCAGCTACTCTTCATCTGAGACCCACGAACACAAAATAAAAGCTGTCCTCCCTCCCCTACTGCACACACAGTTGAGGAACATGAGTGGGACCATCAAAACCCATGCTTCCGCTAGGAAAGGGGGAGCATGGGAGACACAGCCACACAGGGCCACTGGAATTCTGAAATCCTGCTTAAGTGGACTTAAGTGGAATCTTCTTCCCAGGAAGGGCAGTGTTTCCTAATTAGATCCTAAATCTGTGGGGCTTCAGGGGCAGGGCTCATGGGGCTCCTTGGCTCTGCCCTTGGGGGAGGACCCTCCTCTTCTGTTATTCTCATTGGCTACACCTAAAGAGGGTGTCAGACAATGTATCCTTTTCTGTCATTCTACCTCCTTTCTGTAGAAGGCTGGAGGGCCAAAGATCATTTTTAACTCTCATTACAAACCATTTTGGTCCAGACTTTGATTTTATTTGGCAATAGATCTCTCTCAAAAAGCTGAAAACATAGTCATCTTGTTACCAATTTAATTCTCACCCACCCCATATGTCATCGTCACACCAGAGTTCTTGAGAAGTGCCTCCCTCTCCCCCTCCCTCCCTGCATTCTCTCTCTCTCTCTCTCTCTCTCTCTCTCTCTCTCTCTCTCTCCACCTCCCTCTCTCTCTCTCTTTCTCTGTATCTCTCTTGGGATAAGCAAACCCTCAGTCCTGTCCTTGCTACAAGTCTGACTCTTAACTGTCTTTTTTGCTCAAGTATTTCTCAACATTAATTTTTACCATTTGGAATTGAAAAGCACTTGCCTCATCCGACTGTACAAGTACCCAGATTTCTCAACTCTATTCTTTTTTTTAAACATTTATTCATTTTTGAGAGACAGAGCATAAGTGGGGGAGAGAGAGAGAGGGAGACACAGAATCCAAAGCAGGTTCCAGGCTCCGAGCCGTCAGCACAGAGCCCGATGCAGGGCTCAAACTCACGGACTGCCAGATCGTGACCTGAGCTGAACTCACATGCTTAACTGACTGAGCCACCCAGGTGCCCCAACAACTCTATTCTTTTTTATTTTCAGCCAACAGCAGCCAACACATACTATTAACATTCTGCTTAACAAACTCTTCTCTTTAAATTAGGAGTTTTAATTATTTGGACCATTATCTATTTTTTTTGGTAACAGCATAGGTGGTGCTATTATTAAATATTTCACTTGCACCTGGCACATGGACAACCATCCTTCCAGCCTCCAGTACAGACTGTGGTATCCTTCCCTGCAGGGGTGAGAACTCACAGAGGAGTGGACTGGGTGAGGGGAGAGAATAAATCAAGAGCCCTATTTCAGCCAAAATAATTTTTGAGACACCCATTAGACATACACTATGAATTTAATGATGAAGACCTCAAAGAGGGAGTCATTGGCCTCTTGCTTGTTTATGTCATAAGAAACATAAACACACAAAATAAATGATGGGTTTACTCTGAATGAAAATTTTAAGTTAGGATCTCCTAAATGAGGCATTTTTGCAACTCTACACGACGCTGGAAGACTTTGTTACTTTTAAGCATTCAACCCCTTCCCCCTATTCCGCTCCCACCTTTCAGCCACAAGAATCATTGCCTTCAAGAGCACTGCTGTCAAGAGAAACCAGGGTGTCCCTAAGGCATCCTGGAGAATGCAAAAGCTTGTGAACTTCCCATCAAGAGATAACTTAAATCCTTTTCAGGGCTAACAATCTCTGACGGCATGACTATAAATTAAATGCACCATGCTTCTTTTATTATAGACACTCTGAAATATTAAAGAAGGTTAATAATTAAGGCTAATCTTGAACCAGTTCAAAGCTCCAGCACTAATGATCTGAGCTGCTTGGCTGCTTCTGAGACTTCCCTATCATGCACACATCTCTCTGTCAGTCCTGACACCTCAGACAGGTGGGCTTGGTGAAGAGGCAGTATGACCTGCATCACCTCAATGCACCTATACAGACATTCACGGAAGCTCACAGAGGTTTCGCGCCACTGTCTTCACTCTTCTAGGCTCAGGTAAACAACCAATTTAAAGTGGTTTGGGTCTTTTTTTTTTATGGACGTGAATAAGAATGTCATCCATGTATACCAGCAGCTTAACAACACGGCATTAAATATTTCACTGCCTGGGTAAATACATTTGACGCCCGAGTCCCAGCCTGAATTAAGTATTTATTGTGCGTCTTTGTCCAAAGCCCATTTTAAATCTGGGCATTTGTCAACATGTTCAAAGAATGGCACCAAATCCCTGGAAACAGCTGGAGTTCAGTCATAGGCCCTGGCTGCTCCAAGGTGACCTACAAGCATCATAAAACTGAAAATAAAAACGAAGCTGCCACTTTGATTATGTGTATGCTAACAGAGAGCTACTTTGTGGCACACTGAGAACTGGAAGGACACTAGGTCTATTGCCCAGAACAAGCTTCCAAACTAAAAATGCATCCACAGCTAAAGGATAGCAATTTGGAAAAGTCACAAAAATATCGTGGGAAAAATATATGTTCATGCAGACAGGTGCCTGCCATGAAATTGCACGTTCTGCCAAGACTCCCAGCCGGTGCATGCTCTGGGACCCAAGGGGGGACTTCTGTCCCTTGAGACACTGGACCATTCCATCCCTGGGCAAATGGGATTGGTACCCCAGGAGAAGCCATGAGGTTCAAAGGATTTCCAGAGAAGTACTAGCACAGGTGCAATCCAGGCACCTTTCAGTCCTTCCTTCAATCCTAATCTTCTTGAAATAGTCTTGTTTCTTCACTTTCTTGACATTGTTTTCATGCCAGCCATGGGATGAGTCATGGTATCCCTCCTGCCTCGTCAACCTGTTCTTCTCAATTGCCTTCTGTACCTTTTCCTCCCTTAGTGTGTCCCTCTTGACCCTTCCCCCGGGGCCATCCTATTCTGTCCCACAACCTCACTGCAACATCAATCAGGAGTCCCCACCTTTGTGAGGTCCTTTGAAATTTCCTGTTTAATTTTTATTATTGAAGTATAGTTAACATGCAATGTTATATTAGTTTCAGGTTTGCAACATAGTGATTGGACAAATCTATACGTTATGCGGCACTCACCACCATTGTAAGCATAGTCACCATCTGTCACAATATATTATTACAACATAGACTCTGTTCCCTGTGCTGTACTTTCTATCCCTGTGACTTACTGATTTTACAACTGGAAGTTTGTGCCTCTTAATCTCTTTCACCTCACTTGCCCATTCCTGACCCTCCTCCTGTCTGGCAACCACTAGGTCCTTCTCTGTATTGATGAGTCTGTTTCTGTTTGTGTTTGTTTGCTTGTTTGTTTGTTTGTTTGTTTTGCTTTCCTTTAGATTCCACCTGTATGTGAAATCATATGCTTTTGTCTTTTTCTGTCAACTTATTTCAGTTAGCAAAATACCCACTGGGTTCCTCCCTGTTGCCATGAAAATTTAATGAGAGCTGTGAGTGCTCTATTCAGAAAAAAATACACTTGCTCATACACACTCACAATTTTGCATTCCCTTCAGAGGAGGCAATGACTTGGGAGAAGCCTCCCCCACCTGTGGGGTGGTCCCCCCCCCCCCGGTTGTTTCCCCTGGATTCAGGACTGTAAGCCACTATAAGGACATGGGACCTACTGTTCTCCTCTGAACCCCCCAGAGCCTGCACTGTAAGAACCCAATGAGCATTTGTTACATGGTAAAAGAAGTTTAACTTGTAAAAATGCATATAATATTTTTTAAATACAGAGAAAAATTCACAAAAGTGCATATAAAATATAATCTTAATGATAGAAATATATGCTTAGAAAAAAAATGGAAAGGAAACTCACTAAAATGTTACCAAGTAGATTATTTCCAGGTGGTGAAATTATGGGAGATTTTTCTTTTATTCTTTAAACCTTGCTTTATGTTACAAATATTTTTAAGCACATGTAGCCCTATACTTTAGTCCAATTTTCTCTCATGAGGTATTTTGAAGAATGAAAGTGTGAATCCTGGACCTCACTGCACCCCACCCCCTTCTCTTACACAGGACAAATTCTGATGCTCCAAGGTCTGGGGTCTCTCCCTGTCAGGGTCATGAAAGATTTATGTATTTGAGGTCCAAAAGTGAAGTTTCTAGACACCCTGATAAATCTGTATCCTGCCTTATTTAAGAAACCCAGGGGGCACCTCGATGGCTCAGTCAGTTAAGCATCCAACTCTTGATCTTGGCAGGTCATGATCTCACTGTTCATGAGTTTGAGCCCTGCATTGGGATCTGTGCTGACAGTGCGGAGCCTGCTTGGGATTCTCTCTCTCCCTCTTTTTGCCCCCCACCCCGCTCGTGCTCTCTCTCTCAAAATAAAGAAACATTAAAAACAACAACAACAAAGAAAGAAATCTAGGCCCAATAGACCAGGTGGTTAAGCAAGTGGGGGGGGGGGGGTACAGAGAGAGGCAGAAGGGAAGGAGGTGGGTGATTGAGGGGAGGGGATGGGTTAGATTTCCCCAAAGAATTTGGGAGCTTCTGAAAGAGCAGAGACTCACATACCACTTGACTGCAGGATCCCCAGAGGGTCAAACCTCTGAGAAATGCAGCTTCTCAGGCCAGTGTGCACTGGGCACTGACTGTGAGGCTCGTGCTTGGTATGCCCTGGATGGTGGAGGCAAGAAACAGTGTGCATGGTGGAGGTAGCTCAGAAGAGGGAGGTTCTTCGGCTGCAGCAAGGCTGAGTTGCTCATAGGAGTTCCTAGACAAAAACAGGGACCTCCAGTAGTGACGAAGGGTACACATCTCCAACAGCCTGATTTAGTTCAATGTACAAAAATAAAACAAAATAATGGTTTCTGTATCTGAAGGTCTGCCGCATACGTGGAACTGGGTGCTATTTGGAGTGTTGATTGCTTGCTGGTTGTTTTCTGCTGCTTTCTCTGGTGGAATCAGCCTCAGGAATCTTAGCTGCAAAAGACGTAGAAACAATACATTAGGCGGGCGCCTGAGTGGCTCAGTGGGTTGAGCAGCCGACTTCGACTCAGGTCATGATCTCGCGGTCGGTGAGTTTGAGCCCCGCGTTGGGCGCGTCGGGCTCTGTGCTGACAGCTCGGAGCCTGTTTCGGATTCTGTGTCTCCCTCTCTCTGACCCTCCCCCGTTCATGCTCTGTCTCTCTCTGTCTCAAAAATAAATAAACGTTAAAAAAAAAAAGAAAAGAAAAAGAAACAATACCTTAGGCCTGAAAGTCACCTTGGAAAGCGGCCAGTCACTTGGCTTTCAAACTATCCTCTGCAGAGCTTCTTCAAGCCCACTGCCAAAGCCAGGAGCCAGAGGACTGGGAAGCCAGGGCTCCCCTCCATACACCAGGTTCCCCTCAATTCGACCAGAGTAATCCTGCTTTTACTTTCACTTAATACATTTCCTGGAGTCCATTCACCACAAGTCTGAGTGTCTTTCCCATGCAGGGGAAACACTGGTCCCAGCCTCCCATCTCACTGAGACCCAGAAGGGAAAATTTATCTCTTGCCTTGGGGACATACAGCAGAAGCTGAACTAGAACCCAAGGGCAGGAGACATAGGCGTGTGCTTCCGTGCAAAGGGATCACCTTGGCTGTTTCTGCAATGCTACAATTCAAACCCCTCTGTATCTCTCCAGGCTCAGGAGCAAAGTCACTAGCAAAGAGAAATGCATTTGGACAGATATCTGCAAACAAAGTTATGTTCAAAGAAGAGTAAAGCTCTGCGTTTGTGACAGAGTGATCAGAAGAAACACATTAGGCCCTTCAAGTACCCAAGCCCACTGGTTCCTTGCAGACTAGCGAGGGCAGACTCCCCCGGAGATGCTTGAGAGAGCCAGTGGTGGATCCATTCACTGGCTTTTCACCCTCTATTCCTGACCCCCAGTATGCCAAGGATGGGGAGCTAAAAATGCCACCCTCCAGATACCTTAGCATCTAGGGCTCCAGACATGGCCAAGTTCCACCAGTCAGATGTACTACCACAAACTGGTTTGAACCTGAAGCCTGTGAGCAGAGAGGGAAAACATGAGGCGCCCATTTGGCTGGGGTATTAGAGCCAGCAGCTGTAGTGGTAGCTTCTTTCTTTTCTATCGAAATGTAGTTAACATGCCATATTATATTAGTTTCAAGGGTACAGCATTGTGATTCAAAATTTATATACATTACAAAGTGGTGGCCACAATAAACCCAGCTACAGTTAGTCACCACGCAAAAGTGTTAGTTTTGTGAACTATATTGCCTGTGTTACACATTGCATCCTTGTGTCATTGATTTTATAACCGGAAGTTTGTCCCTTTCAATGCCCTTCTATTTCACCTTCTGGCAACCACTAGGCTGTTCTCTGTATCTATGAGTCTGTCTCTGTTTGGTTTTGTTTGCTTTGTTTTTTATATTCCACCATGAAATCACATACCATGAAATCTTACAGTATTTGTCTTTCTCTGTCTGAGCTATTTCACTTAGTATAATACCCTGTAGGTCTATCTGTGTTGCTGCCAATGGCAAGATTTCGTTCCGTTTTGTGGCTAATATTCCAGTGTGTGTGTGTGTGTGTGTGTGTGTGTGTGTGTGTGTGTAAAACCTCTTCCTTTTCCATTCATCCACCAATGGACACTTGATCTCCTTCCATAGGCTGGCTATTGTTTTAATGATACAATAAACATAGGGGCACATGTATCTCTTTGAATCAGTGTCTTTGTATTCTTCGGGTGAATACCCAGTAGCGTGATTGCTGGGTCATAGGGCAGTTCTATTTCTAACTTTTTGAGGAACTTCCATACTGTTTTCCAGAGTGGCTGCACCAGTCAACACTATGCAATGGCACATTCTTAGTTCACTGAGTGGTCTCCCAATTGAACAATGTTTGCAACAGTGGGGTGGTGGGCCCCCACAGCATTCTGCAGCAGCAGCCACAGCCTTTTCCATCTTGACGGAGTGACCCTGGACATGGGAAGTTTTCCTAGGACATGACTTAGAGTCTTAACTATTTTGTAAGCACCCAAACCCCTTCTCAAAAACCATTTCTGCTAATGCCAGCTAGGTGGATTCCACTGTCTGTGGCTTAATGCTTATCGAACTTTGGCATCTTTACCAATCCAATAAGTGAAAACAAAATGTATTCATTATAGTTTTAATTTAATCTTCTCTTAACTTGAGTGAAGTTGAAAGTCTTTTTCCGGAGGCGCCTGGCTGGCTCAGTTGGTAGAGCGTGTGACTCAGGGTCATGAGTTCAAGCCCCACGTTGGGTGTGGAGCCTACTCAAAATTCTTAAAAAATAATAATAAAACATAAAGTAAACAAATACCTTTAAAAGAAGTATCTTTCTGGGGCACCTGGGTGGCGCAGTCGGTTAAGCGTCCGACTTCAGCCAGGTCACGATCTCGCGGTCCGTGAGTTCGAGCCCCGCATCAGTCTCTGGGCTGATGGCTCAGAGCCTGGAGCCTGTTTCCGATTCTGTGTCTCCCTCTCTCTCTGCTCCTCCCCCATTCATGCTCTGTCTCTCTCTGTCCCAAAAATAAATAAACGTTGAAAAAAAAATTAAAAAAAAAAAAGTATCTTTCTGTGTTTAAGAGGCATTTGTATTTCCCTTTCTGAGAACAATCTGCTCTTTTTTGAGAGGTATGACCCCATTTGTCATACTTATTCTCCCACACTTATTTCTTCCATTAGTTTTATAGTTTTACTTTTCATATTTAGGCCTTTACCACATCTGAATTGCCCTACCATATATGGGTCAAGGTAGGTACCCAGTTTTCCCAATACTATCTGCCTGTTGATTTATGTGTATCTTTCATCACATATCTTATATGCATGGATTTGTTGCTGAACCATCTCTACTCTGTCCCAGGTCTATTTGCCTGTTTGTATGCCAATGATTATGTGATATGTGATTATAATAATGTTGCTACCTCTTCATAAATAGTAGGATAAATCCCCCTCCTTGCTTTTTTCCCCAAAATCCTCTTAAACATTTTTGAATATTCATTCTTCTCTATAAATTTAAGAATAATTCTGTTGAAGTCCTCAGAATATCAAGCTAGATTTTTTTGTTGGAATTGTATTAAATTAACAGAATAATAGGATAGTAACACCTTCATGAAGTGATTCAATCATGATATTTATTCAGATGTTTTATGTCTTTTAATTAACTTTTACATTTTTCTCCATTAATATTTTGTGTAATTTCTGTCAATTTCTACATAATTTATAGTCTTTATAATATTTTGAATATATTATTTTATATTGTATATTTTATGGTTATTGATGTTGAAGGTAAATTCTATTGATTTTTGTAAATTGACCTTGTATCTAGAAACCCCAATGACTACTCAAAATAGATTTAATTTTTCTCTGTTGACGGTGTTGTGTTTCCTATGTAGAAAATTATCTACACAGAGAGTTTTACCCTCTCCTTCCAGCTCTTATAACTTTTGTTCTTTTTCCACTTGGATAGTATTTTTGAGAACTTTAATACTGTGTAAAATCTGGCATCAAGAGAGGGCATCCATAATTTCTTCTTGATTCTAAAGAGAATGTATCTAAAATTTTTGCTTTAAGCAAATTTTGATGTTTGCTGTTGGTTTTGGTTTGTAAACTCTATCAAGTTAAGGAAATCTCTTTGTAAGTCTTCTTTTCTAAAACATTTTCCATTGTTAAATTGTTGCTGACTTTCCAGAATGGCTAAATTGAACAACACAACAAGGCACAGCAAGTATTGACAAGGATGTGGCTGGCTGATGCCGGGAGCGTAGACTGTGGTTGGCTGATGCTGGGAGTGTAGATTGGTACAAACATGTATCAGACACTGTCAGTGCTCCTCCCAGATCCCCTCCATCCCTTGTCTGTGCTTTCCAAGCTTCACTGTTTTGCCCCCAATTGCCCACACCTGCAACTCTTTGTAAGCGGATGGGTCTTATGTTACTGAGATCACTTAGCTCACATGGACAGAGAGCCAGAAATGCTCCCATGGCAGCCATTAGGCCAACAAATGGTACAGGAGTGTGAAAGTCCAGCAAACCTGCCTCAGGTTGGGACAACTCAGAGGCATATTTTATACTCACAAGGTCTTTTGTGGAGTCAGTGACACTCTGTTCCACAGAACTTTGCTTTAAATCATGCCCTTGCTTGGGCTCTTCCCCTTTTCTGTCCTACCTACTCCACTACTTTCCTCATTTCTCCTGAGAGCACATCCTTAATAAATCATACATACATAAATACTCATCCCAGGGTCTGCTTCCGACCTTTACCTTACTTCCAACCTAAGACAATCACCTTAGAAAACTGTTTAGCCAAGTTGAATATATACATTTCCTATGATTGCAATCCCACTCCAAGGTACATACAGAAGGAATACATACATAAGGGGGCATCTGTGTGGCTTAGTCAGTTAAGCATCCAACTTTGGTTCAAGTCATGATCTTGAAGTTCATGAGTTCCAGCCCCACGACGGGCTGTCTGCTATCAGCACAGAGGCTGCTTAAGATCCTCTGCCCCCCCCCTTTCAAAATAAATAAAAATCAAAAAAGAAATACATACATAAATTTAACAATAATCATGTATGAAAATATTCATGGCACCATTATTATTAATAACCCCAAAGTGAACACAACCCACATGTTTATCAAATTATTTGACTGGATAAATAAAATGCCTCATATTCACATAATGAAATACTACACATCAGTAAGAATGAATAAACTACAACTGAATTCAACAATATGGATGGAACTTACAGCCCTCAAATTGGGAAAGAAGTCCAACACAAAGGAGGACAGAAACTGTGATTTCATACTGGGCAACCAGACAAAACTAATCTGTGAAGCCAACTTTGTTGTTGTTGTTGTTGTTGTTGTTGTTTTTCACATGGCTACTGAGTTGTCTCAGTACCATTTACTGGATAATATGTCTTTGACGATTTGAAGTCAGGACAGTGGTTGCCCTTGTCCAGGGTGTAGGGGTCACACTGAGGGTTATGGGTGCTGGTTGCATGGATGGTTTCAGTTTATGAACATTAATTGAGCTATCCACTTGTGATTTGTATACTTTTCTGTAAGTATATTATTCATCCTTACATTTAAAAAATTAGATAATAATGAAGTGTTAAATTTTATGAAATTTTTGTCTGCATATATTGACATAATTAAATTGAGAGATTTTCTTTTAACGTTGGACCATTTTCACCACACTCTGGAGATAAACCTTTGAGCATATTGAATGAACTTGTTAATTCAAGTTGGATTTGGTTAAGATTTCTCTCTATTCTAAAAGGTGAAATAAATCTACATTTTTTTTGTTCTGTTCTCATACAGTTTGGGAACTGTGGCTAAACTATGAGCTTGGCAACTTGATATTATTTTCTACTTTCTGGGATAACTGGAATAAGATACGAAACATCTCTTCATTGATAGTTTATGGGAATTCACAAATTATCTGGATTTGGGTCTTTTTGGAGGTAGGGACTATTTAACTATCCTGTCTATTTATCTAGTGTCTATTGAAATGTTACAGCTTTCCACCTCTTCTTCTTTCAATTATAATATTTTGTAACTTTTTTAAAATGGGTCCTTTTTTTCAGGATGTTCAAGTTTATTAGCATAGTTTCTTCTTTTAATTTCATGGTTTTATTTTACTTTTTTGTTTAAAACTCTCACCCACCTGGAATTTATTTTGAGGTAGAGTGAAATTGTGGTTCAAAAAAAGAAAAAAGAAAGAAAATGAAATTGTGGTTCTAGTTTTGGGTGTTTTTTTTCCACATGGCTACCCAGTGGTCCCCACATCATTTATCAATAGCACCTCTTCTCCTCAGGGAAGCTGAGTGATGTCAGCGGGATGGCTGTGAGTGGCAGCTGCATTGTTCACTGGTAACATCAATGAAGTAAGAAGTACTGGAACAGACAGTGAAGAGGTGAACCCCCTTGCCATTTCCTCCACTGAGAAGATAAAACAAAAGAAGAAACAAATATCCAGATAAGCATGCCCAGACAGACCCCTGCTAGTCTGTCTCCAATGGCAGGGACCCAGTGGGAACTAGTCAGATAGAATCAATCACACAGCATGGAGCTCAAATGAGGCCTATATTGTGGTACTTAGAATATGATGTTGTCAGAATAGAGCCAGAATCTCTCTGCTTTCTCCCTCTATATTTTACTCTGCAATGTCATAGTAAATGATCAATTTCCCCCAAGTCTGAAAGTGTTTGTGACTTAATTTGCAGGGTCTCTGTCTTTCAGCTATGTCAGAGAGAATCTCCAAAGCTCCAGATAGGAGGGGGCTCACCTTCCACAGCATCAGAGAAATAATAGATCCCATCTCCAAGGATCTCCCTGACTCCCTGACAGGAGCCTCAGTAATACCCCCAGCCACCACCTGCAACTTGGACAGACTAGGACATACAGTGGAACCTATATAATACAAATCCCAAACATAAATGCCTCAATTGTTTTTTTAGAATATTCATAGTAAGATAAGGAATAGAAGGGAAAAGGTCATTAACCCTTCATAAAGCTACTTTCACCCCACCCCACATACATGTCTCCATTTATGAAGTACTTAGCTAGGAAGTATACTCCTTCCAGTGTTCATCAAGAGGAAAGAAGAGAGAAAGTAAACCTCTCATAATGTGATGAATATTCTTTCTCTTTAGTCTGACTAAACCATTTTAGGCTACATGAGCAACCCCACTAGACCAATAACAGTCCTCAAAGAATCCCACGTATGATTGGCTTAATCCTGGCTTCCTAAGCCAATCGCTAGCAATCAGGATGGGACCATCATGATTGGGCCACTCTTACCTGGGTCCAGTTTTGGGTGCTGGTTACTGAGAGAAACCAAGGAAACTTAGGTTCCTCAACCAAAGGATATATCAGAATGACTGAATATATGTTGAGAAAACAACTGATAGTGTTCATGACAGAATTTTCTTTTACTCTCTAATTTTTTAACTCATAGTAAGATATACATAACATAAAAATTTTCATTTTAACTGTTTTTAAGTGTAGAGTTCAAAGGCATTAATTACATTCACAATGTTGTGCAACCATCTGCAGTATGTATTTCCAAGCCTTTTTCCTCATCCCAAACATAAACTCTGTGACCATTAAGCAATAACTTAATTTCCCATTTTCCCCTACCTCCAGCCCCTGGTAACTTCTAATCTACTTTCTGTCTCTATGGATTTTCCTTTACAAGATATTTCACATAAATGGAATCATACAGTATCTGTCCTTTTTTTTTTTTTTTTTTTTTTTTTTGGTCTGGCTTATTTTACTCAGCATAATGTTTTCAAAATTCATCTGTGTTATACCATGCATTAAAACTTCCTTTTTATGGCTAAAAATTATTCCACTATATGTATATACAACATTTAACTTATCCATTCATCTTTTGATGGGCACTTGCATTGTTTCTACATTTTGGCTATTGTGAATAATGCTGTAATAAACACTGGCATACAAAAACTGTAGGAGTTCCTGTTTTCAATTCTTGGGGTATATATCTAGAACCAGAAATATTGGGTCATAGAGTAATTCTATGTTTAGTTTTTTGGGGAACTTCCAAACTATTTTCCACAGAGACTGCACCATCTTATAGTCCCACCAGCAGTGTATAAGGGTTCCAGTTTTTTCCATATCCTCACCAACATTTGTTATTTTCCCTTTTTAAAAAAAATTATAGTCAGCCTAATGGATATGAAGTGGTCCCTCTCTGTGGTTTGATTTGCATTCCCCTAGAGACTAATGATGTTGAGCAGCTTTTCCTATAATAAGATATACTTATTGACCACGTGTATATCTTCTTTGAAGAAATGTCTAAGTCCTTTATCCATTTTCCCAACTGCTCTTCCAAATAACTAGAGTCATTTGTCTTGTTGTTCAGACCTTTATCAGATAAAGGATTTGCAAATATTTTCTCCTATTTTTGTGGGGTTTTGCTTCACTTTCTTGATAAATATCCCTTGATGTACTGTCACAGACTTTGAGTCTGGAGTTCTGTCTTGTCCAGCGAGAGAATGGATGCAGAATTGAATATGAGAGAGGCTAATGTCTGGGAGGAGACAAGAGCCCTGAGTAAGGGTCCTTGCTCCATATTTATTAGGATCAGAAGGCTTTCAAACGTGATGGATGTGCAGAAAGAGATAATAAAACAGTGATCATTGATTCATGTGTGTGAGAGAAAGGGGGTTTCAAAGGCATGAGGTGTTAGGGGTTAGGGTCAAGACAAATCAAAGACCCAGTGCCGAGCAAACGGCTGTTTATTGCAGGCACCAGACACCGTGTCTGTTTATCTTAACTTTTCTAGGGGCTAAGACAAATAGAGAATGATACTTCAGGATTAACAAGATATTTTTCTTGCTAATTAACTCTGGACATGTTTGCCCTGCTGCAAGGGCTTTCGGCTTCTACCTGCTCTCAGACGTTTTCATCCTGTGGAAGCGGCTTTCTGCTCTATGCTTTGTTCTATGCTGGGGGTGTTTTCGCCCTATGGTTCTGCCTCTACCTGTTCTCCAACGCTTTCATCCTGTGGAAGCAACTTTCCGCTCTATGCTTTGTTCTACACTGGGGGCGCTTTCACCTGAGGTGGCTTTCTGCCCTAAGCCTTGTTAACCCATTGGTGCAAGCTCAGGGAATTCTTAAACTTATTCCCCACAATGCACAAATATTTTTGTTACAAAGGTCAATTTATTTTTTTTTTCTCTTGTTACCCATGCTGTCTTAGTGTCCTTTCATTTCAACCTGAAGGATTCCCTTTGGCATTTTCTGTAGGGTGGGTCCAGTGGTAACAAACTTCTTCAGTTGTTGTTTCTCTGGGAATATCTTAATTTCTCCCTCATTTTTCAAGGACAGTTTTGTTGGATATAGAATTCTCAAATAACAGGTTGTTTTCTTTCAGCACCTTAAATATGTCATCCCACTCCTTTTGTTTTCAATGATTTTTCATGAGAAATTGGTTGTTAGTCTTATAGAAGATCCTTGTGTATAATGAGTCACTTCTCTCTCACTGCTTTCATGATTGTCTCTTTGACTTTCAATAGTTCTATTACAATGTGTCTCAGTGTTGGTCTCTTTCTTATTTTTATCCTATTTGGAGTTTGTTGAGCTTCTTGGATGTGTAGCTTTATGTCTTTCATAAAACTTGGGAAGATTTTTGCTCATTACTTCTTCAACTATTTTTTGTTTCTTTCTCTATGTCTTTTCCTTCTGGGACTTTCAAAATACCTATATTGGTCCCCCTAATAGAGTTGCATATATCACTTAAGTTCTGTCATATTTCTTTCTGCTCCTTAGACTTGATAATTGCAAATTTCCTATATTCAAGTTCATAGATACTTTTTTCCTACTGTTGAACCCCTTAGTTTATTTTTCTTTTCAGTTGTACTTTTAACCTCCAGAAATTGTTTCTTTAATCATTCTTATCTCTTTATTGATATTATCATTTTTCATACTTTATTTCTTAATGCCCTTTTTCTTTGTCCATGTTCTTCTTTTGTTTTTTAAGTATATTTAAGATTGTTGTTTTAAAGTTTTTGTCTAATAAGTCCAATGCTAAGTTTTCCTCAGGGAATGTTTCTTTCTACTCATTTTATTTCTTTGTAGGGCCCTTTGTTACTATGTCTTTGTAGGCCTTGTAACTTTGTTGTTGACAACTGGACATTTGAGTATTATAAAATCGTAACTCTGGAAATGAGATTCTCTCTCTACCTCAAAATGTGTTTATTTTTCTTGATTGTTGAAGCCTATAGTCATTTATTTAATGATTTAACAATTTTTTTCATAGACTGTTTTCTTTGTTGTGTGTGGTTACTGAAGTCTTTGTTTCCTAGCTTGTGGTCACCTAATGTTGACATATATTTTCTTGAATTCCACTTGATTGATGTAAGTTTTTTACTGTTTTTCCAGAGTTTTTACAACATTAGTTCTGACAATTTTTGCTTGTTTTTCAGTTTTTGTGTGGGGAGACAAGGGCTTGGAGCTGGCTACTCCTCCATTTTTATGATGTCCAACTCAAAAGAATTATTTTGAAGATCAACTCCAGAGTTACTTTTGAGTAGTGTCTTAGTAGAACCAAGAGTGAGTAAGTACTAAAGAACCAGTAATTTAACTGAACTCAAATTGAGGGCAGTAAGAGCAGTGGGGATTGTTTAATCTGCTTTGTGCAAGACACTCTCCTGAGTGACTCAGACTTTGTTTCTGAATGTGTGAGGGAAATAAGGATGTGTAGAAGGTCCTGAGAGTTCCTGGAACATAAGACATTTCTAATGATATGAGTATTTAATATATTTAATTACCATCATTTATTATTACTATTGTTATCATCTGACTCTTGAAGTTGTCATTGACTCAACAACCACATTTTTCTCCTGCAAAGGCAGGGTAGTTGAGACTCGGGGTTAGAAGGAGGTAGAACTACAAATAAGTCCTAGTCTTTCATTTATTAACTCTGTGATCCTGGTTAGGACAAAAATCTCTCTGTTCTCAATTTCCTCATCAAAAATAGTGGGAATAATTATACACAGTACCTCAATGGGCTATAGTAAGGATTAAATGAGCAGGACTGAGCACCCCCATAAACGTTATGATTGATATTATTGCCCTTTTCAAGGACTTGGGCTCAATCCTCAAAATGGTAACAGGCTTCCCTCTCACTTTTTCAAGTACAGGTCTCACTGTTCTCTGCCTCTACCTATCCTAGCCTCTCTAAGCAGCTCTCAGTCTTAACCAATCCTGACCTGGGACTTCATTCCTGGTGGATGTTTCTGTGTCCAGTCCTCTTTGCCCCTCAATATACCTGAACACCAAAAGACAAGCCCTCCATCTCCTCAAGGGGCCCCTCTCCAACCTCCCTTCCACATGTCCACCCTGAATTTTTCTTCTTTGCTGTGGAGGATTAAGCCAACTATTGCTCACCATTTATCAGCACTTCTCCTTCATGT